TTGAAGCAAAAAGTGAGGCAGAATTATTGCTATACTGCTTGATGACATCTATGCCGTCTCCTCAAGATGCCGCTTACTGAGACAATAGATGCAATTCTTATTCATTCTTTTGTATACTTCAAGATTTGTCTATTTATTCAAACGTGCTTCCAATTGACGGATCTCCGTTGTCATTTGGCGGTGGTAAGGTGGAAGGTGGAATAGAACCACTTGAGAATCGAACTTTTAAAGTTCGCATGAAACTTCCGCCTTTTGGCATAGAATTTGCCTCCCATTGATGAATAAATGGGGCGCACTAAATCAGACCATGATGGGGAGCAAGCAAAATGGTCACTTTGTATTTAGCGCTTTCATCTACTCACTCACCACCTCCATATTTCATTTTAATGCAATTACAACGCGTTCTCGCTGCTTGACAGGTAAGACTCTGAAGCCTGATGCGTGTGTCAACTGCCAAAACACCTATTGAGGGACACAACATAAAACGTGATGCTCCCTACCGAATCTACTTCTCATTGAAACATCAAACAATCTGCTAATGAATGACTTTGAAACATGATACATCGACCACATACTTATCATTACGATTATACCCTCAACAATTGTGATTATACTTTGTGTACGTAGTTTATGGCTGCCTTTACGATTGTTGCTGCTGTTGTTGTTATTCGTCTTTATGATAATAAGACACGTTGCTGCCTCAAAGTGGTGGATTCAATAGTAAATCTATGAGGAAGTATGCAGAACCATCGGACCGATCTTGGTCGTCAATGGTTCAGCATGCCTCCTCTCCCAAAAATTTATTCCACTTGGCGCCAGTTGCACAAACGTACGCGTCTGGGATCAAGAATAGGTGTTCCAGAAGTTTCCTCAGGATTGCAACACAGTCTTCGACACCTGTCAGATCACAGTTTTGAAGCTGCACAGGCAAGCTTTAGGCAACTCTGTGTTTAAAAAAAAAAAACAAAAAAAAACAAGTTAATTTTTCACTGTCATTCGTAGCCACTTTTGCAACTGTCTCCTGCTCCTGCTTGCAGTTGCTGTAGCATCAGCCACCACTTCGTTTTGTTGCTGCCTGAGTCACGGGAAGAGGAAGAGAGTGGTAGAGGGGCAATTTTTCGCCCTGTCTCCACCCTCACCCTTTCACCCGTTCTCTCTTCAAACCCCGTCCTTTCGCACAAGAGCCACCATGACTAATTCGGCATGCACACGGTTTTAAATGATTCATGGCTTTCGGGTGAAAGGCTATGGAGGTGATGATGTAGTAGCGGTTGAGGAGCACGGCACCCCGAATCCACCCAGCCACCCGCACTTTCCACGCCAAACCAGGTCGAGATCCTGACTCTTCAATGCGGAAAGCACAGCCATCAAAGGTAAATAGGTGGATACCCTGGAAACTCATTCAAAATACCAACTTAACCACACAAAGCGCTCCATAAAGGCCTACACGTGGGTGCTGGCGTTACACTCTCAGAAGTGGACTTCGACGATTGCGTCATGGAAAGAGGAGTAATCCATTAATTCTTACCTATTTTCATCCACCCATTCACCAACGTACACACACGGAGAGAGACAAAAGCGTAATCAGTGCAAATTGCTTTGCTGTACAACTGAGTCGTCACACATCAATACTAGTAGTACTGTACCAACAGAACGACAAACACAGGCCACATGGATGCCAACAAGAATGGCCTTCCGAGCATCTGTATCTTTCATAGGATGTGTACACATAGTAGAGGAGTTCTCTCACACACAAGCACCAGGAATAAGCACGTAGGCGTGAAAGGATAGTGTGCGATGGCAGTAGAGGAAGGAGGAGAGGAAAGAAGGGGAGTGAAGAGTGACATCTGAAATTGTGTGGTACAGTACCCGGGATGTAAGAGTGTATATGTCTAAAGAAAGTGGTAAAGCGATAACTAGTTTGCGTGAATATCCTGTTGCAAGGGCCCCGAGTCAGAGTGCTGGTGGTGATGATGGTGGTGATGGTGATGTTGAGGCACAAAGGCCGTGCCACCTTCTCCACCAGCGCTGCCACTGCTACCGCTACCACCGCCACAACCGCCGCCGAAGGAATTGCTCTCATTGCTAGTGGCGGTGTTATTGTTGCTGTCAAGGCCGCTACCAAATGAAGTTTGTCGCCTGAGCTGCTGCCCTGATGCCGCGGACTGGCCAGAGGTAGGACCAGGCTGTTGCTGTTCTTGTCCGCCGTAAAAGCCCCCATATCCGCCCAAGAGTGAACCATTCTGAGTTGTTCGAAACCTTGCCGGAGGGGAGTAGCCTGAAGGTACTGGAGAACTCCGAATCGAGCCGACACTAGTGGACGGTTGAGGAGAAGAGGCGGAGGTGGGAAAGGCTCCCGAAGTACTCCCAACAACTGGATGTCCTCCAGAGTAGCCTGAGTGGGAGGGGTATCGGTAAGGCCCATAGGGGGATATAGGATCAATTCCGCCTCCATTGCTTGCGGTGCCTGCGAGATCGGGACTTGAGGCGGTGGCCATGAGACTTCGCCCATCCATCATACTGCCACTCACTGCTGCTGCGGCCAATGCTGCGTAAAGTCCCGAGTTTTGAGAGAACTCTGTGAGCAAAAGTATTATAAATGGATGACCTTATATCCACTACTACTCTAAATCAAATGCCCTCCAGATTTTTGTTACCAACATCCTCAAATAGTATTCACTAAATAATTACTAAAGCTCATGCTCAAAAGACAGAAAAGGGTCTCAAATTATGGTTTTAAATCACATTGTCTTCACATCTTTACAGCATGAGATATATTGGCTAAGAAGTCAGATGGAGTTTAATGGTTACTGTTGCAAACACATTAGACTAATTAAATGACCTTGTCCATTGGAATGCGTTACAGCATTTGAACAATAGATGAAGACTGCAAGGAAAGAGCATGTAAAGTGTGTTTGTGTCTACAAATGACACACGCATCAGTTTAGTCGACCAGGTGTTCAGTACCCCAATGAGTGAGCTTTGAAAAGTAAATACCAGCTGCCAGACCCACCCAGCAATATATCAAAGTAGTCAGGGGCTGAGAGACGGGGAACGAACAAATGAATGAACGAGTGAATGAATGTGCATGCTGTCATGCGTGTTTTGTCTGGGTGGGCGACATTAACTGTACTGGCCCTCACCACCACCAACACCGACACCGCTGTAGCCAAGAATTGAATGGGTTCAAATCTTGATAGTCAAACGTAGGATCAGAGCATCTATCAACTCCAAGTGTACTTCAAATAGTGGCCCCAGTAGACTGTGGGCAGGATGGCTAGAGTCCCAACGCATCATTACCCTATTCACCCATGCATTTCTCGCGGTTAAATTCTCGATCGCATGGCAATATGAAATGCAAATATTTATCGATATTAGTATTCCTAACTAAAATTGGAAACGAGTCGCACTCTACAGTCGTGCAAGCATCACCACTTGTAAAAACCTTCCAAACGATGAGGTTGATGGGGCAGGTTACTAACCTGGCTGACCATAGGCAGCAAAGTGTTGATTATCCATGTAGGAGACTCTACCAGAAGCATCAGCGGAATAGCCAAGGGGACCTAAGATGAAATGCAGAAATCCTCCTGACAATGGGCTTTCACATACAAGGAGTCATTAGACCAAGATTTCTAGCAACGATTCTTGCCAAATGCTTGTAAAAATTGTTTTAAACCTTCAAGTCATTTAAGTACTTTTTGAGGCAATTCCAGCTGTTCCTCAACTGTGCTGCATTATAAATTCGACAGGATTCATTTTTTTGAGGTACTTAGCCAAAGACTAAAGTGCCATTAAATCGCAAACTGAAGGTGAGGCA